GGCAAATGAGAGCTTAACATGAATTTGACAGTGAGCTGAGCTCCCCAGAGGGCTAAAAAGTAAATAAATAAAAGAAATCAAGGGCGACAATGGGCTCTTCTTGTTGGGTTCCCTGAGATTGGGTACCCAAAAATACTCTTAATTGGGCACAAATATGGACCATTTTAAGGTACCATATGAGTTTTCTCAAAAAAAAAAAAAGAATAAAAATTGTACCTGAATCTCAAAAAACAGCAAAACAAAAATACACCCCTCCCAGACCTCCCCCATTGGCCAACTCCCTCCCGGAGACCTGCACCGTCCACCCCAGAGCGGTGGTCTGTTCCTGAATCAGGACCATAAGGGACCGGTTTCTGATAGGGTGGGTGGTCGGTGGAATCCCAGACCGGATATATTTAATCCATTAACTAACTAATTAATTACTTTCTTAATTAATTTTATTTTTGTTTTAGTCTAATGAAAATTTTTAAATTCGATTCTTGTCAAAAATGAATTTACAATATATTATTACGACTCGCCTATTATGAGGCTCAATCAATTCCCTTGGTCAATTCCCTTACTTTTTTAGTGTAGATAACATTGCTTGTTATAAAACAAAAAAAATTGTTCAAAGGGGATTATGCAACTATTTTTCAGGAAAATCAAAGTCATTTGCCAGCCTGTCAAAAGTGTGCAGCTCTGTGAGTTCAGTGAAGGAGGTGTTGAAGCGAGACAACCTGCACCGTACTCCTCAAAGAAAAACGAGGAAGAGAGAGAGTATATGGAGTGTCGCCGGTGGAATCACAAAGCGACGATGGAGGTGGGTAGTCAACATGGAAGGGGGTAGTCGATGAGATTTTTGACTGGATAATACTAGGTAGACTAAATTTGTAAATAAGATTTTGTAAACTAAATGACATAAAAATTAATGATTGAATTATTACTTAAATATTGATAAACGTACTTTTCATATTAATGCCATATAATTTAATTTATAAATTTAATTTAAAAATTTAGTCTCTTTAACATTATTTTTTTTAAATTCCTTCTCTTTGAACGATTATATTAGAGTTATATTAGGAATTTTGTTGGCCTATTTATCAATGCCTATCATAAATGCAGAATGTGGCAAGTTTTTTTATAGTACAAGAACGTGGCAAGTTTTTAATTTCAATAATGAAATAGACGTATTAGTTAAGATTATATTCGTTGGGGAGGTAGATTGTCTGCCCTCCTGTTTGAGTGCCCTCCTCATTCCTTTTTATTTGTGCGGTCACGATTAAGTCACATTAACATTTTATATTTTTATTGCTTTTTGTCTTATTATCTTTATAAAAAAATTAATATAAAATATTGACGTGGCTTAACCGTGACAATACAAAATAAGAGGGATGAAAATGACACCCCAACAGGAGGGCAGACAATCTACCTCCATTCGTTGGAACCCCAGGTCAACTAACGTGCTACTTATCTCTTTTTAAATATTGGATGAGAATCTTTTTTGGATTTTTTTCGTAAATGTCTTAGAAATTCTATACTTTATTTGTTTATCGTATATCATGTGATTAGTTTTCGTTAGATACTGTTATGTTTAATTTGAAATAAAAAAATTTAAAATAATTTATGATCGCATGTTGTACAATAAACATATAAAATGTGAAGATTTTAGGATTCTCAGAAAGAGAATCTAGACGAGATCCACATTCTTAAGTATTTGCTCAGCTAAAGTACATTTAAAATCTAAATGGGATCCACATTCTTAAATATTTGCTCAGCTAAAGTACATTGTGGCTTTTTATTTCTTGCGTACCCGGCCGGGAGGTAGTCATTCAGGAGATGGGTTAGAACCAAGGAAGAAAAAATCAATAATATCGGCAAAATATCGCCGATATTATCGTTTTTTTGAAGTTCCGAGATTTTTTTAACTATCCAACCTATTTTCGTCAAAATATCGCAATATTATCCATAATATCGCAATATTTTTAAAATTATCGACAACATCGCAATATTTTATTAAAAAAATACTTAAATATGTTGAGAAAACTCTACACATAGTTAACTTGATCTTGGCCCAAAGGCCAAACAAGTTTTGGTTATCTCATCAGGGGAGTGTGAGTTTTATAGCAAAAATTCATTGCTCACTTCCTTGCATGGGCGATGTGGGACTCGCCCAATGGGGGAAAAAATCAAAATTTCGGCCGAAATTTTACACCCACTTTAAACGGCCATAACTTTGTCAAAACTCAACGAAATCAAGTAAGAGAAAAACGAAAGTTGTAGCCCTCGAAGAGACGAAGAGAATGGTACCTCACACGATGTCTGAATCGTAGTGGTTTGGCCGGAAAATGCCTCGAAAGTCACTGAGGTCGCTGAGGTCGTCGGAAACTGAGTAAGATTCAAATGAGTATAACTTTTTCAATACGCAACGAAATTGAGTGAAACAAAAAGGAAAGTTGTAGCCCTCGAAGAGACGAAGAGAATGGTACCTCACACGATGTCTGCATCGTCGTGGTTTGGCCGGAAAATGCCTCGAAAGTCACTGAGGTCGCTGAGGTCGTCGGAAACTGGGTAAGATTCAAATGAGTATAACTTTTTCAATACGCAACGAAATTGAGTGAAACAAAAAGGAAAGTTGTAGCCCTCGAAGAGACGAAGAGAATGGTACCTCACACGACGTCTGACTCGTTGTGTTTTGGCCGGAAATTGCCTCGAAATATACTGAGGTCGCCGGAAACTGGGTAAGATTCAAATGAGTATAACTTTTTCAATACGCAACGAAATTGAGTGAAACAAAAAGGAAAGTTGTAGCCTCGAAGAGACGAAGAGATTGATACCTTGCACGTCAGCCAAAATTCAATTGACACACTCCTAGCTTCCAAAATTCATACTTTTACTTTATATCAAGTTGAAAAACATAATCGGCATCCAAATTAAAGTTTAATCTTATTCAATGTATTGATTTTTCAATCGTTAATTGATATACTATAATTTGGAACTTCAACGCCTAGACGCATGCTTATGTGTAAGAAATTTAAATTGTCAAATTTGGCACATTATTCTTCATCATTTTATTCAACTTCCCTTTTTTTTTTTTAATATCCTAAATAAAACCTCCAAATATTGTACTAATTAATTATATATAAATGATTATGGTGTGTTTAAACTTCTTTCATTAATTACTACATATTTTCTACACTCACAATGTTTGCCAGCTCGCTATATAATCAACTTAAATCAGTTAAATCCATCATGCAATGCATTTCCTTCCAATTTTTTGTGATAAACTAATAGATAATTGACTAAATAAACATCCTACAAAGTTTCATTAAAAATTTCCAAGTTTTTCTTACAATTTCCGTGGTTTCCATGTAATTTTTATCGATATCGATATTATCCCGATATTTCCATCGATATTTCCGTGTTTTCGGACTACCGATATTTCCGATATTACCGATATTTTCTTCCTTGGTTAGAACAAGAGTGGTTGTTTAACACTTTGGCTAATGATGTAAATATTTCGATTTGTATTTAATATTACCTTCATTTTGGAAAGAAAAAAAAAAGAACATTTAAACTGAAACTTAAAGCGTAGGTTTTAAGAAGCATAAAATAAAATGTTCTCGACGAAATTATTAGGATTATGCATCGGTTGCAAGAAAGAATTTTTTTTTTGAAGACGGTACGTTAATAAAAAACCAACAAAAGATTTTTATAGCTGACATTTTTTAATTGGAGTGAACTTTATCATCAAGAAACATCTCTCTCCACCACTTTGGTAGAGGGTTACTTGCATTTTTTTCTCAATTTTAATGTGTTTAATGTTAGAAAGACAAAATTTACAAACTAATGGGGGTGTATTCAATTGGGATTTTGAGGGATTTTAATTCTTTTAATGAATCTAGGGGTATTTAATCAAGATTTTAAGTGATTCTCTGAAATTCAATGTGTATTCAATTAGAATTTTAAGATATTTTATTAAAATCTTTAGAAATCCAAGTGTATTCAATCAGGATTTTGAAGAAGTTTATAACATTCTAAGTGTATTCAATTAGAAATTAATTTTAAAGAATTTGAGAAAGTTGAGGAATTAGAGGGAATTAGAGAGATTTCGTAATGTATTTTAAACATTCACAAATCTCACATCTTCCCATGATATTTCGAGGGAATTGAATCAAAATTTTATATGAAATCTCTATAAATCAATTAAACTCCATAAAAATCCATGAATTTATAAATCCATTAAAGTCTTTCAAATTCTCAATTGAATACATCATCTTAAATAATTTGTCATTAATATGAATGAGTACATTTATCAACACTTAAGCAATAAACTAATTCTCAACTTCTATGTTTTTTAGTTTTCAAAATTTTATTTATAAATTAGTCTCACTATCATTACTTAACTAAAACATTTGGCTAGATAGATAGGAGGCAGATTCTTTGCCCTCCCACTTCCCGTACACTCTTGTTTTGTGTGATCATGGTTAAGGTACGTCAACATTATATATATATATATATATATTTTTATTTTTTATTTATAAAGATAATAAAATAAAAAAGAATACTAATATAAAATATTAACATGGTTTAACTGTGAGTACACAAACAGAGCACGGAGGGCACGGAAAGCGGAAGCGTAGAGAATCTGCCTACAGATAGATAAGCATGATTGTTACATCATTCATCCTTACCTAGAAGACTTCCATGAGTAGTTACATCATTCATCCTCACCTAGAGACTTCCTTGAGCAACCAACTCATGATAACATTGGACCACGAAACCTCATAGAACCAGTCACTCACTCCCTTATTCCCTCGTTACCTCCGTCGTCACGACCATGAACCATTTTCTCAAGGATTCATGGACTCGCTTGGCTTCCACTATCCGTCGCCGTCACTTGACTGTTAGTCTGCCGTTGACCCATCATACTTACCATCGCCAATGCTCTCATATTTCCGGGAACAATTCCGCGCCGGAGTCATGGAGTTCGATGGAGGGGCTAGTCCGGTGCCCGGCAAACGACGTGCCTTTGTCTCCGGTAGGATTCCTGGAGCGAGCTGCCAAGGCCTACACTCACCGGACCTCGCTGATTTACGGCTCGCTGAAATTCACCTGGGGTCAAACCCATCACCGCTGCCTCAGATTAGCTTCCGCTCTGACCCAGCTGGGAATTTCCCCGGTGATGTGGTCAGTTCTTTTATTTATTTATTCATGTTTTCTTTGTCTTTCATATTGAATAAGTCAACCCGTCTCAAACTCATACTGAAATCTGTGATTCAATTTGATCGGAAGCGCCTGTTTGGAGGCATTTCGTTTTTAGTTTTCATTTTTCGTTATCGAGATAAATGGAGAGTATATAGGAAAGAAGAGGGATGAAGAAGGGTAGAGGAGAAAACTATAAACTAAAACCGAAATGGTTATCAGACGGCCCGAAAACTTCTAGTTTGATCATTTACCTTCTACTCTTTTGTTACTATGTCAAAATATGATCAGTCAATTGATATGGCAGATGAAACCTGTATGCATGTTTGACTAGTTGATTCATTGACCAGGTTGCAACTTTGGCTCCCCCAATGTCCCAGCCATGTATGAGCTGCATTTTGCAGTTCCAATGGCTGGTGCAGTTCTCTGCACACTAAACTCACGCCTCGATTCGGCTATGATTTCTGTCCTGCTGAGTCATTCCAAGGCCAAAGTCGTCTTTGTGGATTACCAGTTACTTGAAATTGCCAATGGAGCACTTGATCTTCTTGCCCAAAAAACGGACACAAAACCACCTATTCTAGTTTTAATTGCCGATTCTGAGGGGTCTTCATCTTCCGAAGAATGTTTTTCGAGCACCTATGAATATGAAAGTCTTCTGGAAAAGGGACAGGTTGGATTTGAGATAAGAAGGCCAAAGAGTGAATGGGATCCTATCAGTGTGAATTATACGTCCGGCACAACATCCAGGCCAAAAGGGGTTGTTTATAGTCACCGGGGTGCCTATCTCAACTCCCTTGCTACGGTTCTGCTTCATGGAATCAACTCAATTCCGGTTTATATGTGGACCGTGCCTATGTTTCACTGCAATGGGTGGTGCCTCATTTGGGGGATGGCTGCTCAGGGTGGCACTAACATATGCCTCAGAAAAGTCAATCCGAAAGACATATTTGACAACATAGCTCTATACAATGTGACAAACATGGGAGGGGCACCAACTGTCTTGAACATGATTGTGAATTCACCAGTCAGTGACCGAAGGCCACTGCCTCACAAGGTGGAAATAATGACTGGAGGTTCACCGCCCCCTCCACAGATCCTCTACAAGATGGAAGAATTGGGTTTCGGAGTGCATCACTTATATGGTTTAACAGAAACTTATGGTCCCGGGACTTACTGCTCGTGGAAACCTGAGTGGGATTCTCTGCCTTTGGACGAAAGATCAAAGTTTAAAGCTCGACAAGGAGTGCAACATCTCGGTTTAGAAGGGGTTGACGTAAAAGATCCCGTCACCATGGAGAGTGTACCAGCTGATGGTAACAATGGGTGAAATTATGTTCAGGGGAAACACAGTTATGAGTGGTTATCTTAAGGACTTGAAAGCAACAGAGGAATCTTTCCGTGGTGGATGGTTTCGAAGCGGAGATCTAGCTGTGAAACATCCTGATAACTACATAGAAATGAAGGACCGGTTGAAGGACATAATCATATCTGGAGGAGAAAACATAAGCACGGTTGAGGTGGAAACAGTTTTGTTTAGCCATCCGGCAGTTCTTGAGGCTGCAGTTGTTGCACGGCCAGATGACCATTGGGGGCAGACTCCTTGTGCATTTGTGAAACTGAAGGATGGATTTGATCACATAAACGCTCAAGAACTGATCAAATTTTCCCGTGATCATTTGCCTCATTACATGGCTCCTCGGACAGTCATTTTCGATGACATACCGAAAACTGCAACCGGAAAGATACAAAAGTTTGTTCTGAGAGAAAAAGCAAAGGCATTGGGCAGCCTCTTTTGAACAACTAAAGTTGTAACAAGTGTCACTGGAAGGTATGTTTTCGGCGCTTTACATATAAGCAAGGCAAAATTACATAAACCAAACACTACCGTTGCATCTATATTCCATGCTTAAGTTTCTCTAGTGAAGCCACAATACCATTCCATACATGTTCAAGATTATATCAAGGGACTACAATTAGCTCATGTAGTGGCATGTGCAGGATGTCGATCCAGATCAAGGCGAATAATGTAGGGATAGACGACGGAACCGCAGTAGAGGTACTTTCCAATCTTGATCCCACTTGAAATGAGAAACAAATCAGGATCATAGTAGTCAGCAGTTGGCTCCCCATCCAAATTCACAGCAAATACGCCAGCATTCTTGTGCAAACGTGGCCTGCCTCCTGCGTATCGCTTCACAATGGCTAGGACTTTCCGGATAAAAGGATATCGATGTACTAGATCCCAGTATGGTGTAACGTTCTGCCAGTTTGTCATTGAAAAATGGCATGATCAAGATGCATCCAAGAATGTGTGGTCGAAATTTACAGACCAAGATTTGTCTAGCAAGAGAACGTTACTCGAACAATACTCTATTCCATTACTAACAATTGATGTGATATTTCAAAAGAGATAACGAAATCTTACCGTGATCAATGCAATCCAGTAGTGGCCTTCTCCATCATATCTGATATTATCAGGCAAGCCCGGCAAATGGTCGATAAAATTTTCTACACTCCCTTTTTTACTGCCTTGCAGGTAATATTTTCTACACCTTCTCCTGCAGTATTAACCATGTAGTATAGTTTAAAACTTTGTCATCCAAACTTAAAACCAAGTGATTTTCGCACTTGCTTTTTCACCCCGAGCACTTTTCGCTATTTCTTTTAGCTCTATGATTGAATATACAAAAAGGCATAAAACATTTGAGAATGAGAATCGCTACTCGAGAAGAAACCACGAGTCTAGAAACATACATGACAGTTTCGCAGAAGACGACGAAGTTTTGATCCGGAGAGACTGCAACTCCATTAACAAAGTAGAGGTTGCGGACGAGCACTTTGGTCTCTTTGGTCGTCGTATTGTAGCTCAGAAGTCTACCATAAGGTCTGCCCCCTAAAAGGTCGGATTGTACCTCATGCAAGCTGTATTTGTACGAAGCATCTGTGAAGTAAAGCATGCCGTCTTGTGCTACATCCACGCTATTAGGTATCTTGAATTTTATGCCCTCGGCCTCATCTGTCAGCAGTTCCACTGTTCCATCCTCTCTTATCTTCAGTAGCCCCTAATCAAAACCCCAAGAAGAAGCAAAAGTAAGTTTGCTGATGAAAATGATTTTGGAACTCTCATTTTGTCCTCTCTAACCACAGAAATGTACTGTGGATTAGGATCAGACTGACCTTCTCCGTGTCAGCTACGTAAACCGTTGTCAGCGCCGTGAGCAAGTCCAAGCGGTCTCCCGCCGGTGAAAACCCAGTTCTCCACCACCGAGTCAGCAGCCGACTCCTTCACCGTGACTCGCTTAACCCACCCGTCAGCACAACCGGTGTAAATGAGACCCGACTTCGGATCATGAGCCACGTCTTCCGGTGCCACTAAATCCCCGGCACCCACAAACTCTGACCCTTTGAGCATGTGGGCATTACGTTTGGGAGCAGCCGCGACTCGCTGGGTCAACTCGTGAAGCGGCAGGGGAGCTGGGTGGAGCGTGTCGAGTTGGTAAATTAGTAGGGCTATTGTTATTGGAGCCAGTACTGAGAGGATGAGAAAAGTTGAGGGCCATGAAGGTGTTTTTCTTGTGGGAGTGGGATGAGTGTCGTCGGAGGCTTGGGTTGGGGAAGGGGAGTGCATTGTTTAGTGACTCAGTGAGCTGTGGGAACTCGGTCTAGAAAATATTAGGTTTAGGTCGGATCAATATGTTTCATTCTTTCAGAGGAGAGAGAGCTTGCTCTCTTAAGTACTTAGATGAACTTTGTCTCCACACGTATTCAATCTTTCGATGTATGAAATGTCATAAATTTGAATAACTGAGACTGCGGACCGGGAGGCAAATTCAACAGTCAAAGTATGAGTTGATTGTGATTGCGAACCGGACCTCGCTGCTAAAAAGTCGATGACCAATTAAACCTGGACAAATATTCAAGTTGTTGATTTTTAGTCACAACTTGAACATGTATCTAGCTGTGATTGGTCATCAGCATGGGTTGCTGCTAATTTTTTCAGCAACCAAGTTCTATCCTGTGATTACATATACAAGTATTCATGAATTTACCAAAAGAATTATATTCAAAACTATTTTGAAAATTCAAACTTAAATGTAAAAAGATAATATGTTATTTTGATTAACTAGCGTGTCGAGAGTATGAATCTCACGTAAAAGAAAGAAGGGACATTACACGTGCTTATAAATATTTGTTACCCCCATATAGCCAATGTTTTATAGTGAAACTCCAACTTTCTTAATAGTATCAAAGCAAGTTCTCCCATGTGTAAAGTCTAATGACCATACGTGCTCTACATCACTCGATTGGTGTTGCCCACGTGTTAGGTTTGAAAATTCGTCATAAGAAGGACATATTGAGAGTATGAATTCCACATATCAAGAAAAAAAAAATATTGCATGTGCTTATAAGTAGATAATCGAATTATTCATCTTTATATTATCAATTAATTTTATAATGAAATCTTAATCTTTTGATGAATTGACCAACAAAAATTTAATATTATAATAAATTCGTAAATTGGTGCATGCACATATAGCATATCGAAATAAGGACAATACTTGCTACGGAACAGTCAGTCTCAAAATTTTACTGACCACCTACATGGCCCAATAGTATTCTAACATCTGTCATATAACCCGGCAACCAAACACCCACATTCATTCACGCCTCCATCGCTCTGACCTTCCGACTGCCCCTTTTCCACTGTCAACCCATCTCTCACGGATCCAGAGGAACCCATCCTCTCACCGGCGACCCCCCTCCAATCCCTCTCATCTCCGGTGATCCCACTCCTAATCGTTCTCTTCTCCAGTGACCCACCCCGAATCCCTCTCTTATACTGCGAATTGGGTGCATGTACGCGAGGAAGATAACAAATTTGGGTGAATGGGGCAACAAAATCCATCTTCCATATATTTTAATGACCCAATTAGGTGCACGTATGCTAGTATCCATTATCTATGATTTCTTTTCGACATATTTCAGACTATCATCAATTTTTTTTGTGGTAAGAAGTGGGAGATTGGGGTGGCGTCACCGGAGAAGTAAAGAAGAAGGGTGGGTCGCCGGAGAAGTGGTGGAACAGAGATGGATTCTGCACATAGGCAAGGACAGGAAGCAGATTGTTTGGTTATGGAAATAGCAAATGACAGGTGTACTAATATCATTGGACCACATAAAGAGGGGAGTACCCATAATGCACAACGTTGCACGTCTACGCATGTAAATTCTTTGTCCGATGCAATGATGTGGATCGGTGGAGTTACTGATCACGCAACACTTAATTTTCAAAACAGGCTTGGTAAGGTTTTCAACTCATTGACAGTTGAAAATTCCACATTAGCTTCTTCAATTGCATTTTCTTCTTTGTATCTTTATAAAATGGAAGAACGTGGTGCTATTTTACGAGTGCCAAGTAAACCTTCATTTTTTATTGGCAATTGAGAAAGGAAAAGGATCCTCTTCGGATCCCTTGTATCATATCCATCAAGTTCCAGAATCTAGATCGTTGAAATTTGATCTAACGACTACAAACAGGGGGTCATTTTAAAAGTTATAATAACTGTAGCTGTTGGATCAAATTTCAACGGCCTGGATCACCGTACTAGATGGATTTGGTGGAAAGGATTCAGAGAGGATCCATTTCCATTGAGAATGCCAATTATGCCTTTTGAGTTTGAAGAAGTGAAGTCTTTTTTAAAGAGGTTTGTTTGTACCATACTTGACCAATTCGGAAACTACCGAGTATCGGTCAACGTTATACCGTCAAGGACCCAGAAGAGTTTCCCTCCAACCAGGAGGCCAATCATAGCGCGACACGTGTCGACATCAGAAGCGAATCATAGCGCGACATGTGTCAACATCGGAAGCCAATCACAACACGACACGTGTCAATGTCAGAACAAAGCTAGAAACTCTCTTCTATAAAAGGAGATCATTCTCCCACAATATTTCCTAATGTCATTTGTACTAAATCATTCACTAGTACTCACTAAAAGAGAGCTTGAACCTATGTACTTGTGTAAACCCTTCACAATTAATGAGAACTCCTCTACTCCGTGGACGTAGCCAATCTGGGTGAACCACGTACATCTTGTGTTTGCTTCCCTGTCTCTATCCATTTACATACTTATCCACACTAGTGACCGGAGCAATCTAGCGAAGGTCACAAACTTAACATTTTCTGTTGTACCAAAGTCCTCACTGATTTTGTGCATCAACATTTGACACCGTCTGTGGGAACGACACTTATTCCCACTTTCTTCAGCTTTGTTAAGCTGGTTTCCACCATTCGTACACTCTCTTTTGATCAAGTATCCCTTTCTAACATGGGGAGCGAAGGAAGCCGCAACACACAGAATGACACCCCTCTTGCACGTGGTACGAAACAACGAAAGAAGGAACAAAATAAGTTTGCTCTTCAGGCTAAAGTCGATGAGCTGGAGGCTCAGAACAACAAGATAGTGATGAAAAATGAGATCCTCCAAGAGCAGTATGAAAAGGTCTTCGAGATGCTTCATGAGGCTAGATATACTAAAACACACGAGCTCATCACCCCTGTGGAAGTCAACCATCAACTGGGTGCCCCCAACACGAAGGGTCATTTGCCTTCGACATGGGTATTCCTGTTGAGGAGCGAGCTACTCATTGAAATGGCGACCAACATGAGACTTCTCTCAACCCAGCTGCTTTGACCCAAAGCAGGAGGAGTGGAGGAAGGCACATTCTTACAGAAGGAGTGGAAGGATCGAAAGCCATCTTTCGAGACTGTCGAGACTTCCTAAAGCAACGTCGAGACAATCCCATCCATGTAAGCTCGAAGATCAATGACCTAAGGATCTCTGAAAGACTCGGTCCCCTCCCATGTCCCAGACCGATTACCAATTTGGGGAAGGGGCAACAAGGCTTAGAGAAACATGAAGGTATAGGGGACTCATAGATGTTCCGACAGACATACCTTGGAAGTCAGTACGGCGAGTCCAGGGAAAAATCACATGCTCTTGATCAAACCTTCCTACTTCCAAGAGGAGATGGAGATTTACGAAAGAAAGCTCCAGTAGTACATGACTCCACTCAGGACCCTCTTGTCCTACAACTCCTTAAGGAAGTAAACAAGTTGAAGGCCGAACGATAAGCTGAGATACCTGATTGGAACCAATCTAGGCTTGGCCCTCTTACAAGGAGGATCCTCGACACCCCCCTCCAAGCAAAGACAAAGCAGAAGCTTGGCTTGTAACTCTATACTAGAAAGGAGGACCCGATTGAACACCTTAACCTCTTTGAGTCCACTATGGCATACCAGATGCATACCGATGAAGAGCGATGTCTTCTCTTCCCCTCCACCCTCTATGGCAGAGCTCTAAACTGGTATTGTCGTATTCCACCTGAGACGGTATACTCATTTGAGGAATTGAGGAAACTGTTTGTTTCTCAACAATTTTC